ATACTAACATCCAATGAGAATCCACTGACGTTCGAAATTTATAACTGTTCCTGGTCAAATCTCGTATATTTTCCGGTTGATAAGGTTTTGCAAAATCACGGTTTATAGCGTACAAGGTTATAGCAGGTTTCTAGCAGACTTATATGCTCTCTTCTCTGGCCTTGGTCTTTTTATATGTGCGGGAAATGTTTTTCTCGAAAGTTCGGACAATATTGAATTATATTTAACCAGTTACGGAAGTGGATATATTGTCGATTCTTGCGTTCACGAATATTCTACAACCTTGAAAAATTGGCGGGAGTTCCGCCATACGTAGCTAACAGTGTAAGCTAAGCACGTTTTTACTATAAACTCAATCCCAACAAACGTTGTCATTGAAATAAATATATATAACAAATTTGTTGTACGCAATACATATCTGACACTATTGGTTACGCATATTTTTAAATACAAATTTAATCTAAACAACGTTCAAATTAAAAATAAATACATAACAATAAATCCGCTACACTATTAATATCTGATATTCCTTTATATGATAGTGGATACTGAGCTAGATTTGATATACTAATATTGCTTTAGGTAGTAGAGGTTACTGTAAAAACTGTGAATTCACTAATATTCCGTTAGATAGTGGAGGATACTATACTAACTTTGAATGTATTAATATTCCATTACATGTGTTGATTGCTGAACTAGCTTTGAATATACTAATATTATTTAGATAGTGAAGGTTATTGTGGTCGCTTCGAATATATTTAAATGTCTTTAGATAGTGGTGGTTACTTTCTTTGAATATTCTAATATTCCGTTGGACAGTGAAGGTTAAAGGGTTTGCTTTCAGTATATTAATGTTTATTCACATAGTATAAGCTATTGTGACAAAATAAATATACTCATTTTTCTTTTAGAGAGAAAAGGTTGCTAAACTGTCTTTTAATATACTAATATTCTTGTAGAGAGTGGAGGTTACTGTACAAGTTCTGAGTTTATTAATATTCCTTTAGATAGTGAAGGTTCCTGAGCTATCTTTAAATATACTAATATACCTTTAAATAATTGTGGTAACTGTGCTGGATTTGAATCTATATTAATATAATAGTACTGTTTGTTGTATATCCATGTAACTACTTCGCAGAGTGTGGAGGTTAATTGGGTCCAAGGGGAGATACATACAAATGTTTAGTTTCGAATTTTGCGTTTTGCGGTTTTTATGGGCGTTTTTTATCATTACTTCATCTCCTATTGGTGGACCTTCACCAAACTTGGCATAATGGTTTTTGGATCCGTGTGGGGATACATGCGAATTTTCGGGATTTTACGGTCGTTTTTGCGTTTTTTTACAATTACATATAAGGGAAGCAACTAAGATAACCTTTCATTAATCATGAATTTACATGACTTCCGTTAAGGGGACGGGTACTCCAGCTATTATCTTCTGTATAAATATAATAGTGTTGTCTGTTGTATATCCGTGTAACTACTTCGCCTCCTGTTGATGAATCTTCATCAAATTTGGCAGGATGGTTTGTTGGGTCCATACAAATTTGCGGTTTCACATTTTGTGTTTTTATGGGCGTTTTTGCGATTTTTACAATTACATATAAGGGAAGCAACTTTTCATGCCCTAAGATAACCTTTCATTAATCATGAATTTACATAACTTCCGTTGAGGGGACGGATACTGCAGCTAGTATTTATATAAATATAATAGTACTGTCTGTTGTCTTTTGTATGTCCATGTAACTACTTCGCAGGTAGTGGATGGATCTTCACCAAAATTAGTATGGACGTTCGTTAAGTCCATGCGGGGATACATACAAATTTTCAGTTTTGCGTTTTGCATCGGCGTTTTTACTTTTTTATCACTACTTCGCCACCTGTCGATGGATCTTCACCCAATTTGGTATGATGGTTTGTTGGATCCATGGGGATATACATGGAGATTTGATTTTTCGCATTTTATGTTTTGCTGTTTTTATTATCTTTTTTTTTATCGCTACTTCGCCCCTGTTGATGGATATTCACCAAACTTGGCATAATGGCTTGTTTTGCGGGTCTCTGCATACTACTTTATATGGTGAATGTTACTCTGCTAGTTTTTAATATACGAATATTCCTTTGGATAGGGGTGGTTACTTTACCATCTTTGAATATACGATGTGACGAATTTATTTTAATATCAACGTTTGCTTAGATTAAGTTTATATTTAAAAATATGCATAGCTTATAGTGTTAAATATGTATTGCGAAACTCCTGCCTCCAAAATTGTAGAAGATTCTCGACAGTAAGAATTAAAAATATATGTATGTACGTAAACGCTAGTGTTAGCGCCAATATTGTTACATAAAACTGAAATTTCGAGAAAGCCTCCACACGCCAAAAAAGTAATATTTATTATTATTTATTGTGGCTTTAAGCATACTAATATTCCATTAAATAGTGGAGGTTCCTGGGCTTGCTTTGAATATATTATTATTATTTTAGACAGTTTCAGTTACTGTGGTAGCTTTAACTATGCTAATATATTTATGTATAAATAGTGGTGTTTTGGCTTTGAGTATAAACATTCGTTTAGATTGTGGAGATTACTGTACTAGGTTTTAATGTACTAATATTCTTTGGATAGTGGCGATTATTCTAGTTTTGAATATACTGATATTTCTTTAGATAATGAGATTGTTGTGCTTGCTTTGGATATAAATATTTCTTTAGATTGGGAAGGTTACTGTGCTAGCTCTGAATCATCAATATATATAAAAGCCAAGTGTCGGTCGGTTGGTCAGTCAGTCAGTTGGTCACGCTCGATTTCTCCGAATTTCGTGACTTACACGAGACCAATTCCACTTTTTATTCTACAATACTTCCTCTTTTGATTGCCCGTTTTCATTTTAGTTGAATCTAGTCACTAACATAGACGTACGTAGATCCTAAATTTCGGCAATTTTCCTCCTATATAAAAGCCCGTCAAGGAGGGAGTTTCAAGGACCAGATCAGGCATGGCGTTATGTGTGTAACACCACATCATTATGACGTCAAGCTAGGTAGTATCCGAATAGGAAAGCTGGGAAGACTCATGTGAAAAATAAGTCAAACATTAGCGCAAATCTATGCTTGGAAATTATTTCGAAAAAGCCTTTACTAAAACAGACTGAAGATACCAATTATTTGTAGGGAAAAGGACGACTTTTCCTCAGAAGAACAGTTGTGTATGTAATAACATGGCCATCGTAGGTTTTAATCTTTTATCCAAATGCACCAATGTGTCGCATGTTTACACTCTTTTGCCAAGTTGTTGACCTGATAACTGCCAAATATGTTAGCCCCCCCAGTGGGTTATATAGCTACAAACCGGGTTTCGATACCCGTGGTGGACACAACACAGATAGCTCATTGTGTAGCTTTGTGCTTAAAAACAAACAAAAACAAAAATTGAAAATACATATTCTAAAAATGAATTAATGTATTATTTCGCTTACGATATCTTTTTCATTAAACTTATAACTTTCTGTTCGATTATCTTTAAGAATTACTTTGATGATTCTAAAGTAAAACTGACATAAAACGATGATGGTCTCTTGTGAGAATAATAAAATAAATATTTTATTTAGATTATGTTTTAGAATATTCTTAACTAAAGAACTAACCCAGATTTATTTATTCGAAGTAAACTAACATGCATGTTATCATCTTGCTTGATTATATAATCAATTGACTATGTTTAACACATTATGGTGGTACCAGGTACTAAATATTCTTAACTAAAGAACTAACCCAGATTTATTTATTCGAAGTAAACTAACATGCATGCTATCATCGTGCTTGATTATATAATCAATTGACTATGTTTAACACATTATGGTGGTACCAGGTACTAAATTTTCGTTAGTATTTATGTTTATGCCCATCAGTGGCTCAGCGGTAAGTTTGAAGGCTTATAACGCTAAAACAGAGTTTCGATACCCGTGGTGGGCACAGCACAAGTAGCACATTGTGTAGCTTTGCGTTTAACAACAAACAAATAAACAAAACTTTATGGATGAAATAATACGAATGAGATCAATTATGTATTTTATGAACTGATCTTCTCTAAAAGTTGTGTTGAAAGACAAAGGTTGTGAACAACTGAGCCAGTGTGTAGTGAAAGCTACGAAACAAGCGTTAGAAAATATTGGAGATGACTATATTGGAGGTCTTAGCCTGAAAGTTCTACCTTTGGACATTGGCGAAGATTGGGAAGAAATATGTAAAAATGGTGAATATAAGTTAAAATATTATAAATATACATAACTGTTTCTGAATTAGAACTACCAATTACCTCTCTAGATAGCTAAAGTTAACCAATCAGTGAAATAGAAAAACTAAAACACATAGAGTATGCATGCTAAAAGTATATTAAATGATGGAAATATTATTAGTGAAAAAAAACGCCTGTAAATCATCTTTAACTGCATTCCTGGTTTGTTTAATGAAAATCAGAGTTAGATAATACTAAGAATCCATAGAAGTTTAATTAATAAAACAAAAACTATAGAAAAAAAAGGGAGGCTCTAGACATGTGTACACTTTAAATGATATATTTGGTTAACTGTTACTGTTACAAAATATATAGTAACAAGCTAAGACTTTTATCAGTTGATTTGAGTTTGGAGATATACAATATTTCAGCTTCGCTTGAGGAATCTAGTTTCGTTGTGAATGATTAAGGATACGCACTGCACAGGAGCCTGTAACATAAGGATACGCACTGCACAATGGCCTGTAACAGGATAAGTAAATGAATCAAATTAAAAAGAAACGCGAAGTAAATCAAATATGTCTTTGTGTTTTCTTTGTATATTATGTTCTCACACTGTCAGTATGTAGTTCAGTTGATTTTCACTGAACTGTCGCAATGCAGTTCAATTGAATTGCACTGGTGTAACGTTCCTGTTTTCCTATTCTCACACTGTCACTATATAGTTCACTTGATATGCAGCTGTTAAACGTTCCTGTTTTCGGTGGCAGGAAACAGGAAAAAAATCGTAAATACACTACAAAAAAAAGGCAAATGTAATCAAAAGACATTTTCGGGTCATAACTAAACAAAGTGATTTTTTTTTTCCTTATAAGATATGAAACCAATTTACTATGCATCATCTTTCAGGTGCAAGCTGGTAACCCTGTCACATTAGTTTTTATCTTTTTAATACTAGAACATACTTTTGATACTATCTTGTGACAATTATAAATAGCTTGTTAAAAATATAAGTTTTTAAACAGATCTTCCTGAGCAGAAATTAACTACCGTTACCATGGTGGTGTTTGTTTGTAATATCATGGCATCTTCACACGTGGACAAGCTGCTTTCAGGAACTAATGTAACAGAGCGGAAAGTGTCAACTCCCTCGTGGACAGGCTTTACTTGTCACAATGAATCACTAGTTAGTAGAATGGAAGAAATTACAAAGATATTATGTGAAGTTATAATGGCCAAGAAAGTCCGAGATGTCGTTGTGCTGCGAGGGCATCAGCATGAAGGTTTGTTTTATCTTAATATTTCATAATTCTTAAAATTTGAAATATAAATGAAATTAAAAACACAGCCAGACATTCGCAGTATTATGTAAATCACACAGAAATGGATTAATATAATTTTATATAAACATGTGTTTTATTACTGGTTAAATGAACAGTATCATTGTATTACTCTGTTGACTTATGTATGTTGAAAATGGAAATTAAAATATAAGAGTAATAGAAACTCGTACGTTTGCGAATCAAATAAAATACTCCCTGTTGTTTCTTTCTATCCCTTTTTCCTTGTAGAGATATATATTCCAATTTTCTGTTTAAAGACTGTTTTCAGTATGATTTCTCTTCAGGCCAATTTTTATATTTCGTTATTACTACTTTCATTTTACTAAATTAGCTAAAGTTATTTTATTTATGCGATGAATTTTAATACTTTAACTTAATATGTTACAGTGCTTTCTAAATTATACTTTACATTATTATGCCCCTTGCTGGCTCAGCGGTATCTCTTAAGGGTTTATAATGCTAAAATTCGGAATTTGACCTTTACGACGAACACAACACATATAGCCCGTTGACAGGTTTTTGCTTAAAAGAAAACAAACATACAATATACGATGTTATTGTCTGTAGAAGTTTAAAATCTTCTATTCTCTACCTCAAGTTTTCAAATGCCTAGGAGCGTTTAAGTAGTGTTTAACAGCTTCTAAAAGACTTTTACTTAACAGCTTTGAAGTAACGTACGTACATAATACTTAGCAACTTCAAGGTAACGTACAAATACGCATATATATATATATAT